TTTGACAGGTGGCCTCACCGCAGCCATGACCACATGAACTCCATGTCTCATTTGGGCCACATTCTCGCTCCTGATCCTGACAATTTACATCTGAAGAAACAAAAAATACACGCATGAAAGAATTCTCAATAGCAAAATATTGAGAATCAGCAGGTTTCGATTTTGTATTCTATTGAGATTTTTTGCTGTAGGAATTTTAAAAGATTTTTTGCCATTCTTTGTCTTCTTTATTGCCCTTCAACAAAATTATCAGCATTATCAGAACAGTTTCTACAGGAGCATAAAAAATCCTTTGTTTCCTATTTTTCGTGTACTATTCCACTCAATTTTTCTGCTAGGATTTTTCATACGCGCAACGTTTTGAAGATCGTTTTTTTCCCATTTGATTCCGCTATTTTATCGTACCAGTGAAATAAAAGAGAAGGAAATAGAATTCTGAATGGGATTCCCCCAACTAAACCGCAGGGATTCCCCATTCAACTTGCTGGAACGATTTATCATCGTTTTGAAGAATCCATCAACGTCAGGAAGTCATCATATTGATTCTGCGCACTATATTGCTTTTCTTCTTTAATACGAGTTCATTTTTATCCAAATGGATTATCCCAATTTTTCCTTTTCAAGAATTTTTTATTGACAGTGAAACCCATAACTACATTATACTGAATCTCATCCAAAAAGCTTAAAAAATTATGTTGATCCCGTGAATCATAAGCTCAGGTGAAATAAATACTTTAATCTTGTTTGAACTATGAAGAAAGAGACATAAAAAATATATATTTTACCCATGACGCAGACCATCACCACTGCAATGAGGAAAATGAATCCAATCCGTGTCATGTTGTGTGTTCAACCTAATCACAAAATTCTACTGAGGCATAATACCAACGCGTCTGCACTTATATTCAGAGGGAAAAAGATAATTATTGCAGGCAATAGCAGTAGGCAAAACAAATCGTTGTCAACACCTTAGTTATCATACTGAATCACCCTACCATAATCTCTACAAGGAAGAGAAAGTCTGAACAATCAGACAATTGATTTGTCGTTTTCCACCACCACAGTACAAAATTCAGGCTCAAAATTGAATGGATTAAATTCTCGACTTAACACTTCAAATATTTAGATAGATTTTATGTTTTTAGAATCATTTATTAGCTCGAACAAAAATAATTTGTGGAAATAACGAAATTTCAATGCTTTTTGGAGGCATCACGGCAAAATATCAGTCTCAAAATATCACACCGCAAAATATCACATGAAAAAATATCACATGGATAAATATCATAATATGAAAATATCATTTGTGATAAATATCACTTTTTAAAATATCATATCATATCATATCATATCATGTAATTTTTAAATTTTCAATAATATTAATTAATTTTTTTAATTTTCAATATATTCAATGATATTTCAATGGTTTTTCTTGATTTTTCGTCGCGTGTGTGAACACGGCCGTGTAATTCTTTCTTTCTCCGATAATTCATTACCACAATACGGCTATTTAATTTCATTTTCGGTATGTAAACACTGCTGGGTTTTTCCCTCTCCTTATTGATCATGTTTTGAGGTCACGAATAATTGCGGTGTATCAATAAAGTTTTTCTTCATGTACACTCGTAATTTGTGTTTTTAAAAAATTTGTTTATGATCATTTTGGGTTGTGATATTTTTTGTGTGTGATATTTTGATTTGTGATTTTTTTTACCGGTGATATTTTGAGGCATGATTTTTTGCCGGTGATATTTTGATATGTGATATTTTGCCGTGGAGCCTTTTTGGATGGGAAAATATTCGCATTAGCAGGCAGGGTTTGTATTTTGAATTAAGAGTTGGGATTTAAGACAGATTTTTTAACGTGGATACGTCTATGGTCTCAATATGGGGGGTTATTTTGGAAAACGGTCCTTATGTGCAGGGCCATCTATCGGAATTCTAGAAAATTCTAGACATTTCAAGGTAATTTAAAAAGTTTCTTGACATTTCGAAAAAATTCAAAATGTTTCTAGAAATTTCGAGGAAATTCAGGGAGTTTCTAGAAAATTCAAGAGAATTCAAGGAGTTTCTAGAAAATTCGAGAGAATTCAAAGAGTTTTCAGAAAATTCGAGGGAAGGTAAGGAGTTTGTAGGCAATTCGAGAAAGACGCAAAGACGATGGACGTATCCACGTACAATTATAGCTGTATCGAAGATACAGCCGCCTGCAATTTTAACTATTTGGGACTCATCTGGAGGGTGAACGCATCAAAATTAGATAAAAATCTCACTTTTTGTCTCGGCGTGTCTCGTCTCGGTTTTCTACATGTAAAAAAACCGAAAAATTGGAAACCGAGATGAGATAAATTGCCTTGGAATCATCACGAGAGGAGTCGATAGTACGTATTTCAATAGTGAGGCGAGATAACAAATTTCCCTGTTCGCTGAGACCGGGAAAATTTCTCCAACGTATTATCTCGTAGTGTCTCGTGAAATGTCTCGCGGCATCACTACGTGAAACGAACAGTTTTTCGTCGGAGCTAATTTTTTCGCTCAGTGTGCATTGATTGTATGGGTTTGACAATCCACTCAGCGCCTTGTCATCACGATATACGTTATATTTTCACTAGTCAGATGTAATGTGCCGGTCAGATACACGGACAGAAATTTTTGATAAAAATTATCCTACCGTTCTATAAAAGTATATCGTGAGTCATCGTTTCCTCATTTCTATCCCGAAATTTAGTAAAAATTAATATATGATGATCAAATTTTATTCTACGTTAGAGAAATTTTATCCTGATAAGAATAAAAATTACCGCGCCGGTAGAGTAAAAATTACTGTACCGGTAGGGTAAAATTTACCAACCGTTCTAGAATTTTCGTTGTTATCTACATAAAAATTATTGGTCTGGAAGGGTAAAATTTATTATGCGTCAGGATAAAATTTCTCTAACGTAGAATAAAATTTTATCATCATACATTAATTTTTCCTAAATTTGGGGATAGAAATGAGGAAACGATGACTCATGATACACTTCTATAGAATGGTAGGATAATTTTTATTAAAAATTTCTCTCCGTGTAGTAAATTGGTCCTAATGTTATAACATTAGAAGAATTTGGCATATTCGTGTCGTGTGACACGTCAGTGACATATCATGTCACTTTTTCGCATCTCTGTTCCCTATTTAGGAATTAATTCAATGTCAGGTTCAAAAAAATTGTCCTCATCTTTCATACATACCCCGCTTTGGGAAATGAATTCAGAATATTTTCTGAAGTACAGAAACCTCATGATAATTCAGGGGTTACAGGACTAAATAACACAGTGCAATAATAACAGGTCAAAGTCAACACAGAAAAATATATTGGGGTCTTTCTGGGATCCTACACTGAGAGAAAAATCTGAAGTTCGATTTACAATAAGAAAATAGTTGAGGCATTTTGGTGAACGATACGATTTTTTTGCATGCGGCACATATCATTATAGTAACTTCACAAGCGTAATTTTTGCAAATCAAAATGCAGTTAAACTAACCAAAGTTCAAAAGTAACCACGACAAATCTATCGTGAGGAGAACTATAAAATAGTTGCAATGACTACATTCCATTGTAGTAATTACTTCTCCGGCCATAGTTACCGTAACCCATGAAAAATTGTTGAGGACTTTTTGACTATAATTCGATGGTGATGAAATATAGTCAGAAGAATTATATTTTCCTCTCAGTGTATGTCAGCCACATCCTCGTCGTGTATCCTGGGTAATGCCAAGAGCTGGTAGGGTGTGAAATTGAATTGCCTTGCCATGCTCGTGAATTTATAGAAGTAACTATATTTTATTTACTTCAAAAATTAATTGCCTTTAGAAGGAAGGTGGTAAAAATGGGAAGTTCCGGTCATCTACCTGGTCATCCATATCATTATATGTGGTGCACTAAAGAGTTTAAATTCATAAACTGGCAACCTAGTCCCGACTTGGTGGGAAATGTGGGGACCCATTGGGAACTGCACTGACAAAAACAAAGGTTTTTGAGAAATACGTTTTCACATATATCAAGAAACTTCAGACTTGAAAATTTTCAAGAGTAAAATATCTTGCACTGAGAAATTAAAAACTTTCGTCAAGTAATTTTGTACTTGTCCTAAAGACGAGGACAATTTCCTGATGACAAGAAAGCGATTTCTCAAACCAAGTAAAATTGAATTAATTCATTTAATAGTTTTTTAGCCTCAATTCTAAAATATTTTAATGCAAAAACCTCTTTAATTGATTTGAGAACTCGTTTTCTTGATATGAAAAAATTGTCCTCATCTTTCGAACAAGTATAAAATTTCTTGGCGTAAGATTTTTTTTCTTAGCGTGAGATATTGTCCGCTTGCTAATTTTTAAGCCACGAATTTCTTGATACAAGTAAAGAAGGAATTCTCAAAAAATACTCGTTTTCTCAGTATAGTGGAACTGTGTTGAATTGTCCTTGTGTTATTTAGACATGTAACCTAATTTAGGTGAGATCATGATTCAGGTCACTAGCTTCATTAGTGTTATGTCAAATATTCAACGAAAAAAGAAGAGCAAGTAATGAAGGTTTCGGTTATTTTTAAATGAAGAGTCAATTATTTTCGCATGGATAATCAATCAACTCCCGTATTTTATGATTACGCATTCACCTCACACACGAAGAAATTCATGATAATTCAGGTGAGATCATGATTCAGGCCACTTGCTTCATTGGTTTTACGTTAAATATGAGCGGAAAAAGATTCGCAAGAAATGAAGCTTTGGCTTATTTTTGAGTCTGAAGTCCATCATTTTTGAATGCCTAATTAATTAACTCCCGTATTTTATGATTGGGCATTCACATCACACGTGAAAGAACAATTCCGAATTTGTTTGCTCTGAACAGTGGGCAATGAACTCAGATGCCTAGGCTGTAACATAGAGTATCCCCTGTCCGCTCACCCCGCAAAAGCGTTCGCCAACCTCCTTAAATAAGCAAATCACCCGGTGTCGAGATCATTCTTCGACAATGACTCGTCTAATCTTCATCGCTGCTTTCTCGTTCATCGCCTCCGTGATTATTCCATCCGGTCAGGGTAAGTGCACTGTTAGAAAGTTTATGAAAATTCATCGAGAGTTGCATGCCAACTTCAAATAACAACATCCTGACCTTGGATTGGATTAAGTGATTGTTGGATATGTGGTTCCTTTTCAAAATTCAAGAAAATAAAGTTTTCTGATGGTCACCAAATAGTGAAATGTCAATGGTAACTCGAATGCTTGAATTCATTGTGAAAATTCAGCATTGCATTCACTTGAGTTTGCATTCGTCGTTCACGGGAGTTTTCATAGCGTTCCACATCTTCTGACGTCACAGGATATTATTGGTTAGGATTTTTGGAGGAGGGAGGAGAGGCACCAGGATAATTGAGAAAAGGGATAGTCTAGACCGAGATTTGAACCCCTGCCATTCCGATTATGCCACTCCAGACGAGAGTTTATATACACTATTAAAAATTTTGGTCTCAAATTTTCGGTACACTTTTTGAAAATTTTTATTGAATTTAATTACTACTGAAATTTCAAGGAATTTCATCAATGAAAATTCAGAATTTAGTGGAAAAATCAAAGAGAACTGTAAATTTCAGTTCCATTTTTCCCTGGAAATGAATAGAAAACTAGAAAATTCCGGTGGATATATTCTTGAATTTTCATGACACACGGAGAGAAATGTTCAGTAAAAATTACGGAACTCCCAATTCACTCACCGATTACGGAATCGACTCAGAAAATTTAAGTGACTGTATCGTAATTTTTTACAGGAGATTCAGATAAAAATTACGAAACGCTCCGGAAAAATTCCGTGACAGTTCCGTAAAATTTCCTACAACCACATTTCGCTCCGGAATTACGGAAAAGATACGTAATTTTTATTGAATATTTCTCTCCGTGCAGTGACACTAAATGCGATTTAGGGGGAAAAAAATCATGAAATTTTCGATTTTACTGAAAATTCAATGTAATTGGGCACTGAATATTTCCATTGGATTGAAAATTCAAATGAATTAAGGAATTCTTGTCCTTATGCTGTTTAAAATTCTGAAATTTTACTGAATTTTCAGTGAAACGTGAAATTTGAGAATGTTTTTCCCTCTACATCGTATTCAATGTTACCGTCCTGAAAATTAGTACTCAACTGTGCATGAAATTTCATTTTTTTTCTAATTGTGTATCGTTCTACACCTTGTGACGTCACAGGATATTGTAGGATAGGATTTTGAAGTAGGTAAGAAGAGAACCAGGATGATTCTCGGTATTTGTTTAGACAAACAGAAAAATATTCATTCTGAAAAATATATATTATGTATGGAATTGGCCTGATTTATATATAAAAGTTATATAATATATTAATTTATGTATGTTTCATATATACTTTATGTAAATCTGATATATATCCGAAGAATATATTCAATTGGCCTATATTATATATATTTTATTGAAAATTCATGGAAATTTCGAAATCTTCATGGATCTTCCACTGAAAAATCAGGAATTCCCTTGAATTTTCAGGGAAACTTCAAATTTCGTAGACTTTTTTCCGTTAAATTGAATTCAGTGTCATTTTCTGGAAAATTCAGTTAAATTTTTTCAACAGTGTATCCCACATTACATATCCCTTATTCATTGACATATTACTTCGCAACGAAGTCACCAAGCAAAACTCGATAATCCTGAAGTTCTCATAATATTATTTAATAAATTGAAATTACTCAGAAATTATTCATTGATGCAGCGTGCGCCGGCTATGCAATAGCGAGTTGGAACTTCGGCAGTGATCCCTACTGTTCTAATCCCAGAGAGAGGACTGGCTGGGTGAGTAAATTCAATAATTATTGCTAGAATATTAGTGCAATGAAAACGTGTGTGATGCAGGAATGACGATAAACAATTCGACACGGAGAGAAAAATTCAATAAAAATTACCAGAAAAAAGCGTAAAAATTACGTTTCCAAACATAATCCGCGAGCGAAATAAAATTCAATAAAAAGTGTGAGTCGGAACTGAAATTGTACAAATCGCCACGTAAATTCTACGATTTATTCCGTAAAAATTAACCACCCGTCTGATGACTCACGGCTGCGGGGACAACAAGTCGTTCCGTAATTTTTCCCCAACAATAGAGAAATTTTACAAAACGAAACGTAGAAATAACTCATCAGCTTCATAAAAATTGTTGAACGTTCAAGAATTTTTGATTTTGGAGGCATGATAAGTTGGGAAGTTTCCGTAAGATTTTACTTCTTCGGGAAAAATTACGTGACAATTTCGTACTTTGCCGGAAAATGATTCCCCATTGCAGATTATTACGTGAATTGTTCCGTAATTTTCACTGAATATTTCTCTCCGAGTGGCTTGTCATTGATCACTACCTAGCAATTAGGGGTGCCAATCGTGTTTCTTAGTTGATTTCAGTGATTTTGGGAAGAAATTAAATCAATAACTTCAAATGGATCGCGACATAATTTCGTGACTGCAACTGACTTCGAATGATTTCATAGATTGAAAATCAATGATTTCGAATAAAGTGCAGTGAACGAGAGGAAGCGCGGCAGAACGCGCCGTTTCAAGTTTTCTAAATGTACTTATCACATAGTACAATTTAGTTGAACTTGTTCTTATTCCAAAGCTTGTTGAGCAAGCTTTGAAAGCTTGTTGAGCAAGCTTTGAAAGCTTGTTTGTAAGCGAATGAAAAATAGCCCATTCCACCTCTTTTCCATAATAATCCACAATATAAAATTAATTTCCAAACGTTATATTACACGAAAGATATCATCTCTTCTTAAGATACATTTGATTGGGAGAAATCGAACTTTTCTAGAATTGAAGTTCCTTTTATTTGGCGCAATAATGAGACTATTTGATTTCCTTCTAGCCAAAAGTTTGCTAACTCCAGAAATTCGTTGGTTTACTCAAAAATCAAAATTATTCTCATGACTAAATACGTTGTTATCTCAATCAACACGATCATACGTTGTTCCAAGGAAATTATAATTGAACACGGAGAGAAATGTTCAGTAAAAATTACGGAACTCACAATTCTCACTCAGAAAATTCAAGTGACGGTATCGTAATTTTTCACAGGAGATTCAGATAAAAATTACGGAACGCTCTGGAAAAATTCCGTGGCAGTTCCGTAGAATTTCCTACAACCACATTTCACTCCGGAATTACGGAAAAGATACGTCATTTTTATTGAATATTTCTCTCAGTGAAGTGAGCATTTCGTATGTCGAATCAGGATGAATATTATTACGCAGAAAAAGCTTTGAGATTGTAGTAAGATGTAGAGTTGAAAGAAGTTTATATTTCTTGACTAAAAAAAATCGCATTAGTTTACAATAACAGAATCACAGATGACGGCAATTCTACACGAACTTGGATATCACAAATTTCCTTCAATGTGATGTACGGAAAGCTCAATTTAAACACCGGCTTCATTCGAGAAAACAACATTCAATTCATTCCTCAATGTAATCATCTCCTAGATACGAATTTTGGATCAATTCATGAAAGTAGAAAATTTCTCGACTGTCGATTATATCAAGTTCAAAAATAGTATATTTCGTAACGAGTGCAAAAAAGTGTTTTTTGGCGAGTGGGAGGTTTATATCACGAGCCGAAGGCGAGTGATATAATCCCACGAGCTAAAAAACATTTTTTCACGAGTTACGAACATTATTTTTCATCAAAATGTGGCGGAAACTGGACTTTTAGGCACGCGGAGCGTGCCGAACAGAAAACTTTTCGTCACAGCGTGATGAAAAATATAATTTTTCGATTGTTGCGGTGAATACATGTGACTTGACGCCAACGAGTGTTTTATTTGATTGAAGTAAATGTATCTCAAGGAAAAATGATTGATATTCACCGTTAGATCTTATTTAATTGAAATTGGTTCAAGTATTTAATACTTGTTCCAAGAAAGAAAAATCTCAATAAAAATAATTTGTTCTACCAAATGTATATCTGTGATACTTGATTCCAGACCTGGTTCTATAAATTAAATTGCGATTGCTGTCCGGGTTTTGTACGGGATGGTATACCAGGTGAAACCAGAGGCTTTTGTGTTCCAATATGCTACGCCAAATGTGCAGTACGTGATCCAAACACCAAGTGCACTCCTGAGCAAATGAAGAAACTTGAGAATTGGGAGAATCCCGGTGCCAGGGAGATGCCGTGTCCCACGAGTTACAACACAGCATGAACAAATTTTTGTTATTGAGTATTGAGTATTTCATCTGTCATACCTAGAGCTCAATAACAATGATCATTGTATTATTTTTTTATTTCTTTGTAAATGTGTATTGGTAATTGTCTTACATTGAGTAATGTGACGCAATAAAAGCTGCAAAAGAATCTGATCTAGAGTTCTATCTGCAGTCAACGATCTGATCCTGCTGCGCGTAAAACAATGGAATAGTGAAAGACGGATTTACATTGTGGGGTACTCCACGCCAAATGAGTCAACGGCTGACCCTCACCCATTTAGTTGCTGTCAAGACCCTGTGATCTGAGATGGTTCGCCGCTTTCTTCTTTCCGTGTGAATGTTTTTTCTAGAGTGATGATCTTATTAAAAGCAAAACCAATTGATCGACAATAAGGACAACAATTGAATGCAATCCAGAAATTAGTAGATTTTATTTTTGTAAACTAATGCGAGATAATACACAATTTAATTGAAATAAACCTCATTTGATTCGAATAAATCATTCTTCCGCGTGTAAATTTCAGTACAACATTGTTCTGGAATTCAAAGCATAAACTGAAAACGGGCAACTCTCTTCTCGGCGAATGATATACATACACTGAGAAACAAACACGTTGTCAAACAAGTCTTGTTTGGGCCAACAAAATCGCTAGTTGAAAATTGCCAAAAATGAATTTATTTGGTTCGAATTTGAAAGTCTCAAACATGAATGATTGTTCTGCTTTCAACAGCAACGAAATATTTGGCTCAAGAGGCGGATAATTCACACCAGACGGTGCCTTTTCAGGATGAAAATATCTCATAGAGGAAAATTTATCAACAAATATTTTATCCCCAAGTTACAAGATTGCTATCATATCATTATTATTGTTTCATTTAAGGGTTCAGTTCTTGTCTTATTAGACAGCCGAAACGAAAAACTACTATTCCTTGTTTCGCATAAAACAAAGATTTTTCGTGAGCAAAATACGTGTGGAACTATCGAATAACGAGGAGTAGTGCTGGAAATGACATTTCTCACGTGTACAGAGAATGCAATTTTTTTTCAACTACTAAATCTATTTTTGCGACAAAAATTGTTCATTCCGGCGCTCTCTCTGCATGTTTAGCACAAAAAAATCCTTTTTTGATCATTTTCAAAAAACTATTTTCTTGGCACAAGTAAGACTTGTTTGAGAACTTTGTCGTTTTTCTCTCAGTGTACGTGTAAATCATTTCCTCTGAATGATCAACAATTAGCGCTCCTTCAAAATCACCCCCACCACAATCCTCCTTCCCGGGTTCATCGTGGCGCTGCATTCGCATTAGTGTGTGGCGCGCAAAGAAAATGGCGACAAACGATCCTCAAAACGATACGACGGGTAAAATCATTTACTTAACATTTTTTCCTATCAAAGAATGAAGATTTTCTCCTCATTCTACAGAATATCCAAGGATTTACCGCTGTAAACATCGGAATCCGTAAATTCATCGACGAAATTCAGATCTAAGTCACTTCCAGTCGTAAATCGAGGTTATGTCCTAACTTGTTTTGTTTTTTTTTCGTGCTTTTCAGAGTTGGCGTGTGTCGAGGAGAGCCTGATGAGCTTAGAAAAATTAGATCGTGCCTCGCCCGATTTATGGCCAGAACAAAGTGAGCTTCATATAGGTGTGCATGCTTTGTCATTAATTGAATGAGGATTGTTTTTTAAAGAGTTTTATCAAGTTCCAGGGGTGAACGAGTTCATTGCCCAGAATCTACCACCGACAGACCAGGCTTCGTGGTCTACTGCATTGACGTCCGATGACATTAATCAATTACATCGTAAGTTTATAAATCCTTTTTTTTTCTTGGTGAACTAGTTTTCGGGGTTTGTCGCCCTCATCGAGGCTCGAAGACCCCTGAAAAACAATCGATAGCGTACATTACTGGTCTTTTCTTGTGTTCTTCGAATGTTTGACAGTTCCTCCTTGATATTGATTCTATCATTCGAGTGGAAGTGGAGCCATTGTTAGACGTCACTTGTTTATTATTGAATTGTTTTGATGACATTAGTGCAAAGACAATTCCGAAGGACTTTTCTTCGAATTTGTTGGTTTAGAAGATCGATTAAGTGTACGAAATTACTAATTGTTGTTTAGTGCCAACAAACAAAAAACAATGTTCATTATGTAAATAGTACACTTTTAAGATTTTCGACTTTAGTTCCTGGTAGAGTTCTTGGAAATTCTTATGACATTTTGGGTCCATTGGAATTACAAGGAATTTCGTTAGTGGAAATTCAAAATTTTATGGAAAAATCGGTGCAAACTGTAAACTTTAGTTCAATTAGTACATGGGAGTTGGTAAAAATGAAGAAAATTCAGAATAAATATAAATTTATATAATAATAAAGAATTAATATCTTCTTGAATTTTTCAATTCAATAGCGAAGTGGTAAAACGGTTCAAGTCAATTTTGATTATTGGCCAGTTTTCAATGGATATCTCGGAATCTAAGGGAGAGAGCAAAATTTTTGTTATAAACTTTTTTTGTAGAGCCAATTGAGATCTACAATGAATGTAATGATAAAAATTTCACTATCTCCCGTAGATCCGGGAATATTCCTCAAAAACTCAAGTGAGAGATACGTCGACTTGAACCGTTTTACCACTTCGCCACCGAATTAATTGGAAATTGTGAGGGATTTGATACTGAATATTCAGGTTTTGATTGGAAATGCGAGTAAGTTGGGGAATTCTGCTCTCCTGCGACTCAAAAATTTGGAATTTCATTGAAATTCCCGATATACTTCTTGGGAATTCTTATCGCATATTAGATCCACTGAAATTGCAAGGAATTTCGTCATTGAAAATTCAAAATTTTAGGTGCATCAAAATGTTTCTCCTGAAAACACCTTTTACATACTATTTTGATGTTCAACTACTCAGAATCACAATTTTTATACTGTATGAAAAAAGTAAAAAAAATGAGTAAACCGAAGAAATTTAATTTTTTTGTGATCTAATTGAGATAATCGAAAAAACCTAGTTTTATTACATGGAATCTATCGAACATTTTGACAACAGAAAAGTTTGAATCGGATGAACGTTGTGGTACGAGGAGCATTTCAAAGCCAAAAACACGAAAAACGTTTTTGCTTAACATGTAGGGTAAAATGATTTTGGTACGAAATTTTTCTTATTTTAAGTCGCTCGATAGTTACTCTCATCAATGTTCTCATCAACTGAAGACTTTCAAATTTCACCAGGGTCCCTCCGTAACAATAATTCTATTAGTTAATTGATGCATCACTCATATTTATATTTATTATGACAAAACAATTAATGAATTTCCAGAGCTCGGAAATTTGACAGTAACCGGTTTAATCGCCGAGGTGAAGAAGCTCCATGACGAAGCCTATCAGCTTGGATTGGAAGAAGCCAAAGAGATGACGAGAGGAAAATACCTGAATATATTTAAGAACAACAAGTAGCAAGTACCCTCCCACCTTACCCCATAAGAAAAATATTTTTTCTATTAAAAAACTGATTAAAACACTTTCATGAGTTTTCTGCAATCCACCTCGCGTATTTCTGGACATTGACGAAGACAGAGGGTGAATTTTTGTTGGTCTCACACGTCACACCAAAAGACAAAATTCCGATCTGCAGAGAACGAAACATATGATTAATTTATGTAAAAAATAGATATAAGGAATAAAATGAAACCATTTTTGAAATTTTTTTTGTTCATTCTTTTTGGAAGTTTGGGTTCTTGTTTGAATGGAATAATTACCACCGAATATCCGTTTCCATCTCGTTTTATCAAAGGACTACCACTAAATCCAGTGCACGGGTCTTGTGTACCAATTGCGCACATTTCAACACTCATCCCTTGATTAACAAATTCAGCGCAGTCTTGGAGTCGTAGGAGTCTCATTGGAAGTGACTGTTGAACTGGCGGCGATTGTTCTTTGTCGTTTGACATACTTCCCCATCCAATTAAGGTTGACTGACTCCCCACGGTTATGTACGGACGATCCAAGTAGCAAATTGGTTGAATCGTCACTAAAAATTTTGTCCTATTACTTCTGTGACACAGAATAAGAGGTGTTGAAGGATTCTGGGGTAAAATTTTTTATGCGCTTATGGGGGGTTTATATCTAGTGATAGTTCCACTGAAATATCCACGAATTTTTACTATTCGTAATTGACGTATTTTGCAATTGAGTACATTTCAAATAAAAAATCTCGAAAATTTAAAAAATCCCTCATTCAGACGAAATTTTCATGAATTTTCTTATTGAAAAATCAATTAAATTCTGGAGTATTCAATAGAATTGCAATTCTAAGGTTCACATGATAATGAAAATTGACAAATAATTTGAAAATTCAAGCAACAATTTCTCTGAAATTGTTGTTGTTTACGTTCCAGCCACTAAAAATTCAGTTGAATGTGCTGTGCAATTTCCGCAATGATTTTAAAAATTCCAGATGCCATCGCAATATCAGTGATAACCTAACATGGAAAATCCAATTATCCTGAATTTCCAACCTGAATGAGAGATTCCATGAACGATTTGATCTTAAATTCGCATTCACGACATTAAGAATTCAAGTGCAAGTATTGCTTAATTTTCAAAAAATTTCTACAAATTCAAGAGACTTTCTGGATTCTAACTGAGGAAGTTTCTTTTCGAAAAGGCCTCCTGACATTTATTTAAAGTATATTTAGGTTTGTTCTTGAATGAATAAAAAATCAGGAAAATTTAGGGGAATTAATTTTTGAATTTTCATTTGATTGAAAATTCCGCGTAATTCTATGCTGAATATTCAAGTTTCGATTGAAAATCGAAGTAAGTTAGGGAAGTTTCGTCTCCCTGCTGTTCGAAAAATTGAAAGTGAATTTTCAGGGAAATTTGCAATTTCATGATTTTTTACTTTGTAATGGTTGAAATAGACGATCTTCTAATTTTATCTGGAAATGATTTATAACGTTCTAAAACATCACGATATGATGTTCTGAGAAAATGTATTTTGAACCTATGAAGTCAATATCGATTTTATGATAAGTGGAATCGAATTCATCTGAATCTGGACATTAATCTATAATCAAAACATTTTGGAATTGGGGAGGAGTTGCTTACGGAATTCCCTGATTTCAACAATCTGATTAATAAACAAATTTCTTGCGACAATTCAATTACGAAAAGAATTCATTGACCTATGTGATTCAAAGGAATAATGTCATCAAGTATTTGAATTCTCTGCGTGAACGGTTTAATTCCTAGAAATACCATGATTGCTCACGTGTGAAGATGATTGACTCATCGAGTCTGATGAGAGCAATGTTGCGCTCGAATTTCTCGGCTTCGAAATTCGGATGTTTCACGACGAATGAGATGTTGTAGGACGGAGCGCAGTGGGCGCAGAAAAGAGGATTGCAGTCTGGATTTTCTGATGTGTCGAAATCCCCCAGCATCACCGAATGCCTAAGATCAATGAATAATTCCGTGTGAATTGCATCTGCTATGAAGTGATGTCGAACAAAAGATAAATCTAGAATTTATTTTTTCTTTTTTGTTCTCCAAATATCTCTGGAGAAAACAAGATTCAGAAGAATTTATTAATATTTTTGTTCTTGCGGAGGATTTTATGCACTAGTGGAATGCCTCCTGGTATTTTTTTTTGAGCCGACTTTTTCAGAAGTATTTACAGAATAACGTGAACAGATTTTTAATTCACCTGATTCAACTAGTTCAAAAAAGCAATTATAATTATTTAAATTGTGAAAAATTATGTTGATGATTGCGTTACAATTTATGGTCCTCTGATGTTGCTAATGCACACGTGGCAGTCGTCAAGATAGTTCTTTCATTGATAATTGTGCCGGTGCAGGGATACGTCATAGTTCCGTCACTCAAATCTACGAAGAAGGAAACCTACTATCACTATTATTTCATGAATTTCTTAGAAAGGGCGAGGTTCAGGGTAATTCATTAAGTAACCTTTTGTAAACGGAGAAAAAGTTGGAGAAAAATTACCAAACGAGTCAAGTAATTGTATAACGGAATTCATTTGTTCCAAAATTTAGTAAACGTGCGGGTAATTTGGGCCAAACCTGTAAAATTTACCGTTTATGCCATCAAAAGTTATCCATGAACGCGAGTCCATGAAATTTCCAGAACTCTTCGGGAATTCGTGTCAATTGACAAGTCGGGTGAAATTTCAAGGAATTTCATCACTAAAAATTCACAATTTGATGACAAACTGAATAAAATTTGTAATTTCTTTTTGAGACGTTCTAGAAAAATTTACAGAAATCCGGAAAGTTTAGGTAAATATATGTGTTCTTGAATATTCCGTTAATCTCAAATTCGGCGTAATTTAATACTGAACATATGTTTTTATTAAAAATTTAAGAAAGTTGGAGAACTATCGTCTTCCTGCTAGTAAAAAATTGTAGATTTCATTAAAATTTAATGATTTTTCATCTTCTAAATCGAATTTAATGTCGTTCTCCTGAAACTTACTAGACCGGTAAAAGTTAGGTAAACTAGACCGGTTCAAGATAGAAATGCACTCACTGATGAATCCAATCCTCGCGAGAAACGGAAAAGATCCAATAGTGATGACATTACTCCTCACCAGCGTTTTGCCACACTCTGCTTTTGGGTCCAACGCCCTCGGGTCGTAAGGATTATTTTTCACGACTCCAGGAGAATTGCAACACACCTTGGGACTTGTACCGATGTAGCCACAAACAGCCTGTCGAAATCTACAGAATGAAAAGTACTAACTGGTGAACCTTGTGTTCTAATACGTAATAATGATTGTGATGTATGATATCGATTTCACAAAATTATTATTCCGCACCAATTTTTAGGAAGTACACGGAGAGAAATTTTCTAGAAAAATTCTAGTACGAGTACTGGAAAAAATTACAATCCACCAGCAGTGAAAAATTCTAGTGCTGTTAAGGTAAAATTTCGTGGTATTTCTGGTAAAATTTCTGGGGATTTCTGTGAAATTTTCACAGAAATACGGGGAAAAATTCACGTTTCCTCCAATAAAATTTCTAGTGCCGGCACTGGAATTTTTTCCTGGCCGTCACTTTGCGCCTCTTTTCCCCTGCTAGCACTAGAATTTTTCTAAAAAATGTCTCTCCGTGTATTGCTAAAAATTCGGATTTCTTTATTAAAAATTGTGAGCACAAACATCATTTTCATCACTTGTGCGTAAAGTGAAGTACGTGAGTAAAATCACACTTTCCGTACATTATGATGAAAATAGTATATTGTGCATCAAGGGCGGAAAGTCATGTTTTCCGACGTGCACATGCTATTTTTTAGCACGCCTGCAAAGGAAAGTTCGCATTTTGCTCTTTGATGAGCGGGAAGTACTCACTTTCCTCCCGCTCATCAGGGAGCAAAGTACGAACTTTCCGTGCAGGTGTGTGAAAAAAATACGATACCGCCACTTAAATTTTCTGATTCGATTTCGTAATCGGTGAGTGAATTGTGAGTTCCGTAATTTTTACTGATCATTTCTCTCCGTGGAGCGCACCACGTATGAAAAAATCGTATAGAAATTTTTTATACGGATTGCGTATTAAAATTCTATAGGATTTCCGTATATGATATTCGGATATTTCTATACGATTATTTTCTACACGAATTATTTCTATACATAAATTTTTATACAAATTTTTGTTTTCATACGGAAGATGTCTAAACGCTCCAGAGAAGAACGTAGAGAAATGTCGCAACTCCGTACGAAATGTTCCTATACACACGGAGAAAAATATTAAATAAAAATTACCAGAAAAAAGACGTAAAAATTACTTTTCGAAACGTAATCTGGGAGCGAAGTAAAATTCAATAAAAAGTGTCAATCGTCACGTAAATTCTACGATCTGTTCCGTAACAATTACTCAACCGTCCAACGCCTCACGGCTAGCCATGAGTCACCGTGAGGGGGAGATTTTAACAAAACGTTCCGTAATTTTTCCGGAACTTTTCGTAAAAATTCTTAAACATCCAAGAATTTTCATGTTCTGAGGCATAATAAGTCTTGAAGTTTCTGTTAGATTTTACAACTTCCAGAAAAATTACGTGACTTTTTCGTATTTTTTCGGTGACAGACCCGAAAATTTACTGAACGTTTCAGATTTATTCTCTTATATTTCGATAAAAATTCACTAAAAACGATTCTCGCTTGCGGATTACGTGAAATGTTCCGTAATTTTTCTTGAATATTTCTCTGCGTGCATGTGGCAGTGGGTCGTACAGGATCAAACCTATAGAAACCGTATAGAAATAATTTGTATAAAAAATATCCGTATAGAAATATCCGAATATCACATATGAAAATCCTATTTCTATACCATTTTTTCATACGTGACAAGTAAACGAAATAGTACATAACTGCCCGAGTCTTGGAAAACAGATCACCGTCCCCCACGCGCAAGATTGCCTTCCGAGCCGAAGGCGAGGATGGCAAGCACGTGGGGGAGGGTGATATGTTTTCCATGGCGAGGTGTGTATATTAATTTTCGTGTCGAGGGACCTGCAAAACGCCAATTTCAAAAAAAAATGGAACGTGAACAAAAATTGTCACGTTTCGTGACTGACTGGGGGAGGTCGCCTAAGTTGAATATAATGAATATAATTTGAAGAGACAAGGATGTGAATCCTAGAACTTCAAGGATTTTATTTTAAGAATCCCAATGCCCTTGATTTCACTTCCCAGCGGTTCTTATTTTAAGAACCTAAACTACCGGAATCCAGAGCCAAAGTGCTTTGATTTCAGTACCATAGGAATTGGCATTCCGTAAAACTTCATGAGAACTCGAATTTTCTCTCTAATTCTCTGAGAAAGGTCACTGGAATACAGAGACTCTTACTGTTGGTTAAAAACTTTTTTCTATGAAATAAAATGAATGAAAAATCCGCATGTTCAGTTTCCACTAATTTCCTCAGTACGCTGTCATGATCGAATTTATTCTTCTCAATTACAGGATTTTTCTCCTATCGAGAAAACAAAAAAATCACCTGTGAACTGGCAAAGTCCCTTCATTCACCAATGACACAACATCAGGGCAATAATCGATGGGTGTGCATAGTTTATTCTGGGGACACGCGAGAATGTTCCCAGCTCGATTATCATTGACATAAAAATTCACATAATCACTCTTCACAGCGGTGGCGCACGCCAGTAAAACCCAAATCATCTTCTCAAAATTCCGTAACGATTCCATTAAATAAATAATTAACACATAAAACTAGGATTGTTGGGCATCTGCAGGCAGACTGAATCACCTCGTTTATTGAACATCGTAGTAACCCAGCTAACGACATTCTGAACTTGATAATAATCGTGAAAACAAACAGTTACCTTGGGAAGATTATTCCCCATTATATTAGCATCCGGCCGGATGGCATGATCGCGATGCAGGAGAATCGATATATCACTTTAATATCGTGGAAAATCGGTAACTCTTATCAGTGATCCCATACCAATGTGGTAACGAGACACAACAGTGTAAAAAATGGAATTCCGTAGTGAAGTGCAGGAGCATAACACGAGATCAGTCCAGGAGGAACGAATGTGCAGAATGGAACACACAAAACACACTCGATGACGTCAGACATTTCGCCCTAAACCCCCTAGTTCCCGAGATATTCGTGAAATAATTTGCACAGAATTCTTGGACTTATCTCCCGTCTTCTCCCCTTCCCTACAGATTCGTTCTAATTTCATTGACATCGTTGAATTTGTACATGTGATGAGTTTGAAGGACTGAAGGTGAGATTATCATTCTAATCGTTTTAGCATCCAGCGGCGCGTTTGTCATTCCATTCGATAGCCGTTTCAACTATTCCCGTGGCCTTGATGAAATCAACAGCAACGACATTGGCAGTGTGCTGCCATTCTTCATTGTACCACTCGGTTACATTAATATCAACGTTCTCAGCCATTTTACGAAGACCACCGAGCCGGTCGAAGATTACGTCGACGGTTGTCGGTGTTAACTGGGCCATTGCTGCTCTTGGTTGTGATTGAGGGTTACTGAAAATAAATTAAGGAAATTACTTGAATGGCCCAAAACTAAATATGAATTGAATTTCGACTGAATTTCGGCAATTTTTGCCTTATTCCAACGATAACTTTGAAGGGTAGAGAATTATTGGATTTCACCAAATGATCTTTTTGTGCAGAATTTCGTGTTCTGCACAGAAAAATATTTCGATGCTTTTTTGTAAATCATTCTTTTCACAGGTAATTGCGATAATACTGAATGCAATTCAATAAAAGCTAATAGGAAAGACTGGGACAGAATAAAACATCACGAAAAGCGATTATTTAGCACCACTAGAAAACTGTTTTTGTGTTTAAATGACTGTATGGGTCAAACGTCGCTGAGAGGGTCAAACAACTCTTTAGGATGCTTTGCATCACACGAATTGAAGCAGAATGATCAGAAAGAGTAATTTAACCCTTAATCCCTCGACTCAAAACGTCCGTAAGAGTCGTTTGACCCTCAATTAAAAATATAAAAAAATGTTTTCCTGAATTGTGCCAAGTCGTCGATGTTCCTGTTCTATTTATCTCGATTATGAAAGGTCGTAAGAAAAATATCAAAAGACTTTTTGCGCATGAAATTTCATGATCAACACGAAAGGTTCTCTGGTATTTTTCTCGACATCTAATAGTTTTCGAGATATTAGCAAAAATTCTGAAAACAGCCAGATTCAAGTCACAACACGGAGAGAAGTGTTTTAGAAAAATTCTAGTGCTAGCACGGGAAAAGAGGCGCAAAGTGACGGCCAGGAAAAAATTGCAGTGCCGACACTAGAAATTTTATTGAGGAAAACGTGAATTTTCCCCGTATTTCTGTGAAAATTCCACAGAAATCCCCAGAAATTTGACCAGAAATACCAAGAAATGTTACCTTAACAGCACTAGAATTTTTCACAGCCGGTGGATTGTAATTTTTTCCAGTACTCGGATTAGAATTTTTCTAGAAAATTTCTTTCCGTGAAGTGTCCAGTTATCTCGCTAATAAATTCAGTAGCGCAGTGGTAAACCGATTTACGTCGATTTTGACTTTTGGCCAATTTTTTATGGATATCTCGGAGTCTAAGAGAGATAGCAAATTTTTTCGCACGACCTTTTTTATAACCCTCAATTGGCTCTACAAAAAAGGTCGTAACAAAAATTGTTCTATCTCTTCTAGATTCCGAGATATTCGTCAAAAACCGGTCAATAGTCAAAATCGACTTGACTCGGTTTATCGCTTCGCTACTGAATTATCCTGGGAAAAATCAGCGATAATCGTTTGTTATTGGAAATTTTGTGATTCAGAAAAAATGTCATTTGATGTTTTTGTCTCAAACCATTGGTTCTGTAGATAATCACGAAATCGTGAGTGGGTTTTGAAGTTTTCAATGAAGTTCTTTATTTTTCAACCACTTCAGTATTCTCTCCCACTTCACAACAGAATAACTTACGTCGTAAGTGTGTCCTCGGATGCCAGTCTCTCAATCTTGTTCAAGTGCCTGTAGAGAGCACCAATCGTTCGGACATTACCCCACTGCTGGCCAACTTGAGGCCAGACACTCGCTCTCTTGGTGACGATGTTATTATAGTCGTATCCGATTATTAGTCTTTTCCGTGATGCCCAGATCTCCTCTAAACTCGTTTTCCAGACGTCCACTGGTCGTCTCATGAAGTAGTCGGAGAACTGATCCTCGAGGTAGTCGACTAGTTCATAGTGCGCTGCCATGCTTTTGAATCCTAAGAAAATATGCAAATTTCAAATCAACTTTTTGAGAAAAAAATGAAAAATTACTGTACATGTTCTAATAAATATTTCGTAAACTAAGTAGTTCGAGGAAAGAAAAATCTGAAAGGATCTTTTTTGTTGAGAAATTATCTGCGGGACAAAAAAGCCTTTTAACATTTCGCTCTTACGAGTCGAATAAATGTGGGCATCCGCATGAAGAGGGTCCACTTCGTCGATGTGGAATTATGTATACTCCGATAATATTGATAACATTCCGCACGTTTTAAGCCCAAAATGACTGCGATAGCGGGGAAAGTGACGCTAATAGAGAAGATCAAAGAAAGAGGTTCACATTGGTTTAAATGGGAGTTGCAGAGGTGAAAACGTGAATATCTTGGACACTTCAATCGACAAAGTGGGCCTGTTTCATTCGGACATCTGCAAATAATAATGATAAGGACAGTATCCCTTAGTTGAGTTCATGTGTTTTTCTAGATAGATTTTGTAAATATCTCGGAAAATAATCGAATCAAGGGAAAATGCAAAAAAAAATTTTTTTTTGAGAATGAAATGCTTCAGAAGCCCAATAGATACCGCAATGTTGACAACCGAATCTGCATCACATTTGAGCCAAACATTGCAGTAAATGGAAGACAGCGAATTCCAATTTTCTTTTTTCTCACATTTTTTTTCTCAAATATTGCGATAACTAGTAGAAAATAGTAGTGAATATAGTAGTAAATTTTTGATAAAATTTATGATACCGTTTTATAAAAGTGTATGATGAGTTATTGTTTCCTCATTTCTATCCCGAAATTTAGTAAAAATTAATATGTGATGATCAAATTTTACTCTTCGTTAGAGAAATTTTATCTTGATAAAAATAAAAATTACCGTCAGGATAAAATTTCTCTAACGTAGAATAAAATTTGATCATCATATATTAATTTTTACTAAATTTCGGGATAGAAATGAGGAAACGATGACTCATCATACACTTTTATAGAACGGTAGGGTAATTTTTATTAAAAATTTCTCCGTGTGCATAAATTTTCGTATAGTCCCTGCCCGAAAATTTCACTTTTCCGGGCGATTTAGTGGGTGTAAAGTATTTGTTTTTCGCACGACGTGCGTAAAGTTCAGAGATCATGCATGAAGTTAATTTTTGACTGTAAAGTTTCATACACTTGAAATGTATTTTTCATCACGCTGTGACGAAAAGTGAACTTTTCGGCACGCTCCGCGTGCCTAAAAGTCCAATTTCCACCACATTGTGATGAAAAATAATGTTCGTAACTCGTGAAAAAATATACTATTTCGTCACTCGGTTTGTGAAGCCTCGCTTCATGCACGCTGCGCGTACAAAAAAGCCGCTCGCAACCATACAGAGAGAAATGTTCAGTAAAAATTACGGATCAGTAAAATTCACAGTTCGCTTACCGATTACGGAATCGACTCAGAAAATTCAAGTGACAAAAGCGTAATTTTTTACAGGAGATTCGGGACAGTTCCGTAAAACTTCCTACAACCAGATTTCCCTCCGGAATTACGGAAAAGATACGTAATTTTTATTGAATATTTCTCTCGGTGCATAAATTGATCAAATACGTATGGGATGTTTTTCGTTGAAGAAATGATTAGTGTGATATTATGTCGATTTCTCTCTTAGTGTGAGTAAACGACCAGACTTTTCGTTTTCGAGCATAATCGCCGCCAGGAAAGAATGATTGTGGATCTCAGTGGTGGGAGACGTTGAGTTGCCGCTAAATTCGAACGAGTGGCGGTAGCCAGTCAGCATCATTCTTTCTTGGCGAGGACTATAAGTAAAGAAGCACTTTTCGGCACGAGGTGAACGTAGCAGCAGTGTCAAAATAGTATATTTCAGCACGTGTGGGGCAATTTCGTCTTTAACGTGTGTGGGGTTTACAGCATGAGCCGAAGGCGAGTGATGTAACCACACACGTTAAGGACGAAATTTCCCAACAAGTACTGAACAAAATTTTATGTCACGAAGCCTGAAACCGGCTGAATTAGACACGAGACGCGAAGCGTCGAGTGTGTAATCCAGCCGGTTTCAGGCATGAGTGGCATAATAGTATATTTCGTAACGAGTGCAAAAAACATTTTTTCACGAGTTACGAACAATATTTTTCATCACAATGTGGCGGAAATTGGACTTTTAGGCACGCGGAGCGTGCCGAAAAGTTCATTTTTCGTCACAGAGTGATGAAAAGTATATTTTTTCGTCTTCTCCTGAATCTTCTATTTCAGAAGGTATTTTCAAAAATCTTTGCTGAAATTCCCATGACAATCTCTGTGATTGCTCAACAACTTCGTTTTTTAAACGGGAAAATTACTGAAATACTTGACGTGATGAATACCAACCGACAGGAAACTCCTGCACATCGAAAATAACGATTTCATCAGTGTTATCTAGAAAAGTCTTGACAGCATCGATGACGATCTGCAGAGGTACGATCCTGAAAGGTCCATGATTCCCCCAAAACTCATGGTGATGATTCGGATACCGGCCCACTCGAATATCCAAATACCTCGCGCCATAGATCAACTGCGCCAGCACATCCTCGTCCTAAAATAATTTTCGCTATAACAACCTCGTTATCTGCATTCTAATCGCTGTTTCAGGGTTATCATAAAGTCAGTGTCACCGAATATTAGACATGGGGATCAGCAACGAATTATCTTTCTCAATTTAACTGCGACTTGTTGAATTGCAATTCAAATGGTCAATCGAGAAATTCAGACGAATTGGTAAAAAGTCATACAGTCCAATCTTCGTACAACTAGAAGGGACTGTAGGGGAATAAAATTCGAAGAATTACGCATCCCCCACTTTACTTGCGCTCAGAGGGCACGGAGAGAAATTTTCTAGAAAAATTCTAGTACGAATACTGCAAAAAATTACAATCCACCGGATGTGAAAAATTCTAGTGCTGTTAAGGTAAAATTTCTTGGTATTTCTGGTAAAGTTTCTGAGGATTTCTGTGAAATTTTCACAGAAATACGGGGAAGAATTCACGTTTTCCCCAATAAAATTTCTAGTGCCGGCACTGGAACTTTTGCTGAAGATTTCTCTCCATGGGGAAAATAGAATAGAATACTTTATTTGATGAGCAATCAAGTTCTAGATCATAAATGCATATATTTTTAATAATTCCTGCAATATCTTCACTCCATCCATTCAATTCTGTCCCCTATTTCGAGCATCTTGTACGGAGAATACGAAACGAAAAACATTCAAGCCAGAAAGTGGGGGTATCACTCGGCACGGATTCAGGTCTAGTATCTTGTACACAAGTATCTTGTTCGAAGACTGGACTGTGAATTAGAGATGCAAAATGACCGTCATCTTTTAGATCGCGTCGTATGACCAAAAAATGACGGTCTGGTGACGGTCATGTGACGCACAAATTTTCCAACGATAAATGATTATCACAAATCATTTGTAACCAAATTGTTGTCAAACCACCTATATAGTTGCATAATGACGGTCATAACTAATTTCCAATTTGTGACGGTCATGAATAAAACAAAATAGTTTCATCTATATGGATGGAAAAAAAAGTGATTTCCATTTCAAAATGCGGATTAGGCTAATACAAAAGGAATTCAACTGAAAATTGACCGAGAAAAAAAGAAAGTTTCGTCTATATAGATGAAAAATGACCGTCATTTTTTCTTGACAAGTTGTGACGGTCGTAGAAGGGGGAGGGGGAATTGTGACAGCCGTCATGAACGCCTCGTGATGTGACCGTCATTGACGGTCACATGACGAATAATAATAAAAGTTGGTGATTTCGATATACATTCTAATAATTACCTGTGTGATTGTGTATTTATCAACAATCAATTGGATCTGGGAGCCCTCGTGTTTGGCATAAGCTGCGGAATCATGAGTTCCCGGCAGGAAAATTTCTCTCATTCTTAATTTCCCTAGGGATGATTTCCGCTGGGACATCCATGTTGGATGCGTTGATAAACAATTTGATTTTATTATTGTATTGTTTCTAACGAAAGTTACGTGATATTCTGAAACGATCAAACGAGAGAAGAAAATTGATAGCATTATTCATTTATCCATTCATTGGACAATTTTTATTCCAGAACTGAAGTGAAACAGTTCATTTCTGGAATATTTTGAGTTCAGTTGAATGAGCGCAATTATCTCAGACACAAGGGATTTTAGAAGAAAATGTAAAAGAACTTTTTTGTAGCTAAGAAAATTTACTAGTAAATGTAAATGTCTTATGATGTTATTATGTCCTTTAAAACATACACAGCAAAAACGAATGTCTGAATTTCACACACACGCAGAAAAATGGTTTATTTGAATTAAATAAATCGTTTATTTGATTCTAATTGAGAATTTCCTTGATTCAAATGAAGTTGATTTAATTCAAATCAATCATTTTTCTGTGTGCACCTTTTGTAGACATTCTTCAGACACTGAAAAACGTCTGAATAAAATGAAAATGTATCTGAATTTCAAACGAACCGGTGCCTAAACATCTTAATTCATGTTCGAAATTCAACCAAATTTTCATTTTATTCGGACGTTTTGTAGTTTCTCAAAAATGTCTACAAAAGGTGTGTGAAATTCAGACATTCATTTTTGCTGTGTACTGATTCTCGGGGGTGGTGGGTTGTTAATCAATTATTTATTATTATTTTTTTGGTGCTATTGTGATATTCTGTGAAAATCATATGGGATGAGAAATTCCTTACGTCTCGCTTTATGTCTCACGTAATTCCTTACTGAGAGAATTAGAGCTGCGGGACACCCCCAGAAAAGTGCTCGGAAATCGATCGACTGACCGATCGTGTACTAGTGTCTATTTTTTTCTTATTATCTTAGTCAAGTCCGTAATATTCAGAGATGGTAAAAATGTAATTTTTAGTTAATTATAGAGGGCGCAATGCTTCCAAAAGGCGCGGGTACTGGTAAAAATCGATCGAAATCGATCTCTCGATATCCGATGTCCTTGAATATTTATTCATATGTTGTGGGAAAAATTTTAAATATCATATCTCTCTTAATATATATCGAATCACTACCATTGAATGTTAATGAGAATTTCGCGGAATCCACCCCATAGAGTCTTATTGCAGAGGGTTCCCGGCCTTTAAATTGACTGAAAAATGAATTTTTTATGCATCTTGATCATATTCAATGGATTAAGGTGTTTCATGTGTAGATCCCCGGGAGATAAATCGGAAGGGGAGTCTTATTGTTCTCGAGCCCTGATTGAATCGCTGCACGGAGAGAAATGTTCAGTAAAAATTACGGAACTCTCACTTCACTCACCGATTACGGAATCGACTCAGAAAATTTAAGTGACGGTATCGTAATTTTTCACAAGAGATTCAGATAAAAATTACGGAACGCTCCGGAAAAATGCCGTGACAGTTCCGTAAAATTTCCTACCACCACATTTCGCTCCGGAATTACGGAAAAGATACGTAATTTTTATTGAATATTCCTCTCCGTGGGAGCACGAAATCTTACAATTTTCAAGTAACTATTTAAGTGTGCATTTGAACATTTTTTTGAGTATTGATCTTATTTATTAGAATGATTGATTTTTTTCTCATCGCCTACGGGTGTCAAATAATTTTTATTGGGTGTTCTTCTAATTATTGAAATAATATTAAACTGCGCCTCGAGTTGGTAAACCTGTCGAGTGTTTTCTCTCTCTCAGTTCTATGGTCCAACCCATACCTTTTCCATGATGCTCATTGACATTCGAATCACGCACCTGCGCGTGAGGGTGTAATTGCCCCGCAACTCATAATTTTCCGAATCATTTGTTCAAATAACTTTCTTATGAAATCTGAAAAAAATCTGAAACTTATACGTGTTCTCAAGAAAGATTTGATTTATCACCCACTAGTTTTTCCTCAATGGTTCATAATTTTTGTGAGTGCCATGAAAATGTCCCTGATTGAGAGTGGGGTAACCTCGGAGGTTATAGCTGGAGGGGTTGCAAAAACATTGAAATTTCATAATTTTTTTTGTTGACACTGAGATTTGAAAAAATGTGCAAAAATTCTCAATGATGCAGAATACTCATAAATTTCTGGCATAAATTTTCCTATTTTTTTTCATTATTTTGACTTTTTACACGAAACACCTTAAAGAAAAAATTACGCATTACTACGCGATTGGTCGGTGCATGTTTTAAAACCGTGCATGGTGTCCCACAGCTCTAAATCCTTTAAAATATTCTACGAAATCGCTCACCAGCGAGGCATAATCAACCCAAAAATGCTCAGAATCTTACTTAAACAAGTTTCCCTGAACGTTAAATTGGCAGTCGGAACAAAGTCCGCGCTGATGCCCGTCTTCTTGAACCCATGAGTGACATCCGGTTGAAATTCAAAAACCAGTAGATTAGCAGCCCCGGGATGCTCCTCATAAAGTCCAATAGTATCTCCATTCCTCAACTTTGAATTCTTCCAATAAATTCCGATTTCCCGGATCATCTGGGCCGACATGATCGGTGAGATGACGATTCCCAGCTGTATTTCCTCTGTCTCTGTCCAAATAAATCCGGAATAAATCACTGATCACGACAAAATCGGCGCCCACTCACCATTGAGATCGTGCTCGTTGCAATCAATCGCAAAAATTCCACAGACGAGGGAAAGAATAACGACGAAACGCAACATAGTGCGGGATGACAATAGTGAATTTTTTGATCGTCGACGCACGATGAATGGAGTGACCCCGATTTCGCTCCTTTTGAAGTCACTCGAACCAGAACCAAACAACGAAACGCACTGAAAGAGAAGACATGTACTGCACGTGGCTCGGTGGACATGACAATGTGCTCCATTAGTATCGTTGTATGGGTCTGATGATTATGAAGGTGATGGCGTGTATTCGCTGATTCTGGGGATAATATTGTCTTAATGTCTATGTGTGAGTGCGCGTGGAGGCGAGATGGAACTTAGTCATCACTTTGAAAAACGAGGCAAGTTGTGATTCGTTGATCACAGGTGCAATGACACATTATTATCACGATTGTGAGAAAGAAATGACGGGTTATTGTTGCGAAAGAATGAAGATCATCGTAAGGATATCCAAGTTTCTTTTACTGTTTGGTACAGACAACACTGTAGATTCATCCATTTTCAATCATCAAATTTGTCAATTGAATTGGGTGAGAATAATTTTTTAAAAATCAAGTATATTCAGTATCATTTAAATTACATTCTGCACAGCATTGTCAGTTATTCAGGCATTTGTTGTTTATAAATATATAATCGAAATTGTTTAAACTCAGAAACCCTATTTTGGTAATTGTTGAAATTGCAATTTTTTAATTATTTCATCAATCTTCCTCCACAAACGAACTTCCTAATTTTTTTTCAGATTTACAAAATCTTTATAAGTTTAATGTGATAACAGGAAAATTTTACGTAACAAATTCAATCAAATTGAATGAGTTGTCATTCATTTTCTTGTTATCGGGATTAAATAATATTTTTGTTTAGAGGATCCTTAACCTTTGAAGCACGGGTGCATCTGCATCTATCGTTTGCTCCCAATATTTGATAAATTTCCAGGTTTAAGCACATACTTGATAAAATATATAGTGATGCGGTCGAGACTAGTCGAGAATTATTTTGAAGAGATCATCACGGTTTGGAAAAACATCGAAAGTTTTGGAATCGTCGCAATCTCGAAAGACATTGAATCGGTGCATCTCGTCACAATTGCCTGAATGTCGAGATTTTCGGTTTTTTAAGTTCACGAGACGAGACGAGACAAATATCGAGACAAACATTTGAAAAACAGAAAATCCTGAAACTCAGACGTGATGGATTCTTCCAAGTTCGTGACGAGATGCACCGATCCAATGTCTTTCGAGATTACGACGATTCCTAAACTTTCGATGTTTTTTTAGACCGTGATGATCTTTCCAAAATAATTCTCTTCTAGTCTCGACGGCATCGCTAAAAATATACTCAGTTCAAGGATACTTTCTTCCGTGATATAATTCTGTCGATCAAATTTGTTTGAGAGAAACTAATACCCGTAATTTTCATTCCAAATGTCACTATAACTTTGTCTGAAACGAATTCGATTGGCAGAATTATGTATTTTTCTCTGTGTATAAAACCCTTTTCACAATTTTTTATCGTTCTCAGGTTTGAAGACATTCATAAAAAACTCACATATTCCGAAGTTGTTCCAACGCATCTCCTTTCACCATTCCACAAGTGAATTAAGAATGACAAATAATGGTCGTTTTATTAGATAAAATAAACTTACACAGAACAGTCAGGATGATATTGATGTTAATCTCTGTTGTGTCCCATCGAGTGACCGCCTGAATCGCGACTCGTGTAATTCAACACCAGCTTATTGCGTCAAACGTAGATTCCAAGGACTCAAATGATTTGCTCCGCACTCAACTAAATTACAGCAACTATAATTATTCATGACGCAGAGATTTTTCATTCTAGCCGGTCTGTCTGACACCGCGACAGCAGAATGGAAATCAATTGCGCCTGGAATTGGAGGCACATTGCGCGGGATTGTCCGTTGATGGTTGGGGAAGTCATGGGACAGTGTTAGAAAGATTGAAATTTCAGGGACAGTTGAGTTGTGATTTTCAGGAGGGCGACATTGAGATCGATTTACACTGATAGAAATGGTGGAATTATGTAGGTGCTGTTAACGATGCTTCTCAATTATTAATACCGTTCGTTAACTATTAGGCGGAGAGAAAAATTCAGTTAAAATTATCAGAAAAAAACGTAAAAATTACATTTCGAAATGTCATCCGCGAGCGAAGCAAAATTCAATAAAAAGTGTGAGTCGGAACTGAAATCGTCCAAATCGTCACGTACATTACACGATTTATTCCGTAAATATTAATCACCTGTCTGATGACTCACCACTGTGGGGATAACAAGTCGTTCTGTAATTTTTCCCCAATGATTGAGAAATTTTACGGAACGGAACGTAGAAATCAGTAGCGAAGCGGTAAACCGGGTTAAGTCGATTTTTACTATGGACTAGTTTTTGACGAATATCTCGGAATCTAAAAGAGATAGAAAGATTTTTGCCATGACCTTTTTTGTAGAGCCAATAGAGCGTTATAAAAAAAGTAATGAGAAAAATTTTGCTATCTCTGTTAGATTCCGAGATATTCAGCAAAAACTGGCTAATAGTCCAAATCGACATAACTCGGTTTACCGCTTCACTACTGAAATAACTCTCTAGCTTCATAACAATCGGTGAACGTTCAAGAAGTTTCGATTTTGGAGGCATAAAAAGTCGGGAAGTTTCTGTAAGATTTTACCTCTTTGGGAAAAATTACGTGACAATTTCGTACTTTGTTCGGTGATGAACCTGAGAATTCGCTGAACGTTTCAGATTTCTTCTCTTCCATTCCTATAAAAATTGCCGGAAAACGATTCCCCATTGCGGATTACGTGAATTGTTTCCTAATTTTTACTGAATATTTCTCTTCGTGTAACGAATCGTGTTACGGGGATACGTCGGTGAAATTTAAGCCTTCACTGGGCCTTGAAACCCATTGAACGGTTTGTGATATAAGACGGAATATGAGAATAACTAGAGAAAATCGTGGATCCGATCGATTTTGCCCCCTATAACCACGAAAAACTTCATTTTTTGCTGTTGTTACCTTCAAAGTGCTCCTTCCGCTGTAGTTTTCATACCATTTTAGCTCTTTTTTAAATGTTCGTTACACGGCGAACAACAAAGTTAAGCATCCGTTTTACTTTATTCGCAATAGACCATGAATAAATGAATGGTGAATTTCATAAATTTTTTTTGAACCCGCCTTTTCGCTTCAACCTGCCATTTTTTTTATTTATAAAAATTAGATTACATATGATTACAATATTCAATTACTAAAAACAATGAATTTTTAGTCATACTCTAGAAACGCGAAAAATTTATGAAATTCAAAAATCATTTATTCATAATCTATTTTGCAAATAAAGTAAAACGGATGTTTAACTTTATTGTTTGGAGTGAAAATTTGTTTGGAAAATTTTCCGAAGCGGCGAGAGAACGCGGATTTCCAACTTGAATTTTCGACCAAAATATGAATATTTGGAATTTACCGAATTGCGTTGAAATTTGAATTAATTGAAAATTTGAGAACATATTTGCATGGATTCCTGATTTCTATTGATTTTCATGGAATAATTGAACTGGAATTTGCAGTATCCAGTCATTTTATGAGATCAAATGTGAATGTCGGCATGAAAAGGGATAAAAATGAAAAATAATCTAACATTAGTTTCCCTCCAAGTTGTGAAGACAAAAACATGAATAGGGAACTTGAATTGACAAAGTGGTCCCCTTTCATGTGGACGTCCCCAAATTATGAATTTTCAATGAGAAAACCTTCGGCATTTCCGTGAAACTGTCAGTTGATAAACAATTCCAGCATGTGTACCGGAAATTAAAGCCAAAAAATTCAACAATTTAAGAACCTTGAGTGATACCAAAATAGAACACGTTTTATTCGTGTTTTTTATCCTTGGAAATGTCGGAGAGAAGGGTTCTTCCTGCGGAAGGATGCTTCGTTAAGTGAGGAGACGATGGATCCGGCGGCACGCCAGATGACAAATACTTATGTGGGAGTAGTTTGCCGACCCACCGTCATTTTAGAATTGGGAACGAGCAATAACCCAGTGGAGGCCAATGTGAATTCACTTATGAAGCAGTTGTGTTTACTTTCTTCGGGAGTGGGTTTTCTGAGATTTGTCTCGATTCAATTTATGAATTTTGAATTTTATAAATTTTTCACGTCTCTAGAGTAGGACAAAAAATTTATCGTTTTTAGTAATTGAATCATGCGTAATCTAATTTCTATGAACAAAAAAATGGCAGGTTAAAGCGAAAAGTCGGGTTCAAAAAAAAATTTATGAAATTCAAAATTCGTTTTGAAAAATCCATGATTTTTTTTTTTTATTAAAAAGGGATAGAAATTTCCATCGGGAATCAGTCAGAGATGCCTCAAAATTTTCTGTTGGAAGTGGTGTTAGTATCGAAGATCAGAAAATAATTCAATGTTAATTTATACGGGCGTTATCGATGGAAAACCATGAATTTTTCGGATACTAAATACGATCGAAACGGTTTCTTTTATACAGACATATAAATATATATACCATTTACTCAAAGATATAACTTTTGTAGACATAATTTTTTACTTTGGCGGTTTTTCATTGCAGTCTTATGAAATTTTTAATGGATCGCATGATTGAATTCTCGAAAAAGCTGCATATAATTGTCTGTGATTGAAAACATTTTTTTGTAGATCTACACCAACATTACCAACATCATCAATATCATCAACATCATCAACCAAATCAGTATCGGTGTCATCATGCATCCGATTTCCCCTTCAGAAGATTCAGGAATAAAAGTATGATATCTCCTTTTTATATAAGATATCACAAACTGTTCAATGGGTCCCAAGGTCCAGTGAGGCCTTTAAAATTTCACCGACATACCCTTAAATACCCAAATATAGATATTTATATCTATATATAGAGAATGAATTAGAATTATTCATTAATCCTAAATTGGTCATCCTATGAGGGAAGCCCCGCCACGCGTCGTTTTTCTTTAATTACAATTTCCTGGCTCACCGGAAAAATTAAAAAAAAATCAGTTTTGTTAATCGAAGTGTGTAAAAAATTATAGTATTTTTTAGAACAACATATTTCCCAAAATTCCTAGAGAAAACAAATTATTTCGGACAGATGAATTATTTTTTCCCACACGGAGAGAAATATTCAGCTATAATACCCAAAGACCTTCAAAATTATCGGATATTTCCCGAATGTTTTGTTGCATAGCAACGAGAGGAATCAGTTTTCATTAATCAGTGATCATTAAAATCCCGGATCGAAATGTGTTTGTAGGTAATTTTACGACACTGTCACGTAATTTTTACCTAGTCACAGAATTTTTCCGGAGCGTTCCGTAATTTTTACCTGAATCTCCTGTGAAAAATTACGATATCGTCCCTTAAATTTTCCGAGTCGATTCCGTAATCGGTGAGCGAGCTGTGAGTTCCGTAATTTTACTGAACATTTCTCTCCGTGCATGTTAAATGAAATTGCCCATGACGTGACGTTGCCGGAAACTCGCTAAACGCAGCCGGGCAGTGTGGAGTGAATTTGGCAACGCTAAAGCCTAAGAAAGACGGCGGGGAATCCCCGCGGAGGTGACCCTGAACAAAGTCGCAAGGCTGCGCTCGGTGACGATTATTGACGATGACGATTATTTGGATAATCGGAAATCCCTTATAAGAAATTTAGTATTATCTACTCAACAGAGAATTTTTAGTTCCATATTTTTAAATACTTAATTCATCATCAATTCGAAGTTTAGATTATACATTTGTTTACCATTTTTGAATTTCAATTGGTATATTTAAACCTTGATCAATGTAATTCGGAAGTTCTTTTAATATTGAAGAATCGGAAGATTTCTTGTAAATATCGAGCTCCGCCTTCCTGTATACTGAAATCTCTGAAAAAACAAGCCCCACAGAAAAATCAACAAGGTTCAACAATAAAAACACATTGGCATTAGGGTTTCACATATCTCCCTTTATTACAAAACTGGAAAAAAAAAAACAAAAAAAAATCTTCTGTGACAGTAACAAACTTTTGGCTTATGTGACTAGTTATAATACTCAGCGGCAATACTAAATTAGTGTAATGTATACGGTGTGTTGGGAGTGGAAAAGGGAGGAAATTCTTCGGGATGAGACCATGACAAGTGGGCTAATAATAATAAAAAGAAAATAAATGAAGTGTTATTGGCGACTGAAGTGAGACAAAGACGCCAGTCTCTTTTCCACTGCCCACACAAACTATTCCTTGTGGGTGAAATAATTAACCTTGGAAAGAAACAATTGGGAAATTGGGAATAATAATTTAACTTACGGATTTAAAGGTACATAAATATTAAACTATTTATACAATTAATTAGTTCGTAGTCTCTGTCTTGGAAGACACGGTATGGCAGGATTTTTCATTTGATTAGGAATAAAACATTTTTTGCGGTAGTTGTTGTACATTGCAAGGTACAACATTGTTTTTTGATGTTGTTTCATTTATTTGATAGCTAGATACATCAGTGGAGAACAATGAACAACAGAAGGGGAGTCGACAGGAGATATTCATATTTTTGGGAATATCTCCGAAAGGAAGGGATTTGTGGAAAAATGTTAGAAGTTTTTTGTAGAGAATTAAATTTTCTGTAGATATTATCTACTAAATTTTTTTTCTACATCCACTAGTTCCCGAGATATTCGCGAAATAGTGCAGATTTTTTTTCACTGAGTAATACATTGACAGATTATTTTAAAAGTACTTTGCT